GTCGGCATAGCAGTCGCTGCCTGCAAAGGAATACGTCTTTCCGGCTTTTCGGTCGCGGTATTTGGCCATGATCGGTGGGATGTTGAGCCTCGGCTTCTCTTCAAATGACCATCCTGCACGGACGGCCGAAGATCCTATCGACAGTCAGTCAAACAGCCGCTCCGCCACATGCGTTTTCGGAACGCCTGCGAGCTTACCATTGTCAATTACAATGGCCGCGCCTCGGGAGGACTGCGCCAATGCCTTCTCCCGTCCATCCTGCTGTACCGGGATCGGCTTCTCGAACTTAGCCTCCTTGACTTGGAAGATCTTGGCTGGAGGATACGTCCTCTCCGGAGGTCCTGGCAGAGGAGGGAGCTCGCCCGTAGCTGAGGGCGCCATCGCGATGTTCGTGTGTTGGGAAAGGTTTAGGGTGTCGCAGTGCGACGGACCATGCTTCGGGGATTTACGGGCAGTATATGATTGATTCCGAAGCTGTATAGCTGGTGGCGTCTTCAACGGGAAGGTTCGTTAAGGTAGGGAGCGTCTACGTCACGTGCGTCGCGTTCAATGCGTCTACTTGATTACGGTTGATGAAGTTGTGATGCGCCGTTGTTGCGAGGCTGCGAGGCTGTAAATTTCAGTGGACCCCTACCGGCTTGTGCTACTCGGGTCGCAGCGCAGCTACGCGATCTTAGCGTAGCAAAGGTAATAGTACTACGTGGGTGAATCAAGTGCAACCAGCGTCTCGCCCCTCGGCGTTTTGTTCAAAATGGGAACTATCACATTCACTTTTGGGTCTGCCAAACTTGCGACTGCCTTTAATCATGGCCATTTGAAGAAGGGTGGGAAATGCGGTCAATTCAGAATTCTGAAGCTTTCCTCCAGTTATGGCTTCTCAGTGGGTATCTGCTCTATGGCTCGTGAAGTGCGCCGGAAATGTCATCAGTCTTGTCTCATTCCTCATCCATACACCCAGCACCTAACGACGAGTTCCGCCATGTTCATGCAGGCGGCTTCAGGTTGTCCGTAGCTAGTCCAGTGTCAAATTACTTCACGAAGGTCTGCATAATGACAAGAAACGTACCCTCAAGATGGAACAAGACATTAGACTGGTAGTTCTTGAACATCTGAGCGACGAGCTCGACATTCATGTTCTCAATGTTGATCTCCTGAAACCGACATCAGTCACAGCAAATTGTCATAGAATAAGAATGGGTAAATTACCTGCAGTGATCTATTCATGACCATCACCGCCTCGTTGAGTTTCTCCTGAAACTGTGTAAGTCGTAATGACCTAGGGTTGTTAGAGAGCGACATACCACATTGGTAATAATGCGAGAAAGCAGCAGGTTCTGTTGGTGTTCGTGAGGACTCTCCTACTCTATTCGTTAACATGTCTATTCGTCTGCGCTGCAAGTGACCACGGTTGGTATCATACCATTTTGTTAGGCACGTATTTGTGGTTGTGGTGTGTTTGTTTACTCTGTTACATGTACCCCACCGCAATCGTAGATGACTTAACTCGAACAGCGCTCTAGGCACAACTCACCGATCACACCGAGCTCCCGCTCAGCGGTGAGGAACGGCAGAATAAGCTACCCGGCCACTGCTTCCCTCCTGTTGCGCAACCAGCCATCCGCCTCCAATGGGTACAGCAAAGCCGTATCATCGCAATTTGAAACCCCAAAACCGCACGATACCACATTCCAACTAAAATGGCGGCCCCGAAAGAAGCTACAGAGGCGCAACTAGCCCACCAAGCCCTCCTCGACGAGCTCGACATCCACTCCATTCACAAGAGCTTCCGCAACCCGTCCTGGAAACCCAACCAGCGCCGCAACAAGAACATCAAGACCATCCTCGGCGACGCCTCCCGCCGCGAGGCCTCAGCCCTGGCGACCCCGCAACAAGAAGAGGGCAGCGCTGCGGCCACGCCGGCGCGGACGACGCGGGGCGGCCGCGGCGGCAACGACGACGACGGCCTCTCTACCAGCGGCGCCTCGACGCCCGCCGCCGGCAACGGCAGCGGCAACAACGACAACAACCCGAACCTCGCGCAGGCCTCGCGCAGCCTGTCGAAGCTTGTTCTTGAAAAGAGTCTGCGCCCCAACGGTGGTGGTGCCGCCGGCGGGGGCTCGGGCCCGAGTGTTACCTACACCAACGTTGAGTCGGCGCCGTCGCTGGCGCACACGAAGCGGTACTGCGATATCACGGGGCTCCCGGCGCCGTATGTCGATCCCAAGACGCGGCTGAGGTATCACGACAAGGAGGTGTTTGGGCTGATTCGAACTTTGCCGCAGGGCGCGGCTGAGCAGTATCTCGAAGCGCGTGGTGCGCATACTGTTCTCAAATAAGGGGTGTCTACTGCCTTATATCTTACGAATACATCTTGTGGACTGGACAGAGAATGACGGCGGCGGCAGGAGGCATAAGGCACGATGCTGCAGGTTTCCTTGTTTAGGCGTTACTGGGGGTCAACAACTGTGGTCATGAACCAAGTTTCGGAGTTACTGGGGGTGTCGAGCGGAACGAGTCGTTTTCAAGTCAATACGATGATTGTTCTTCATAAGGCTGAGCTACTAGGGTGCGGGAATCTATGTATGTGCGACCAACAAAGTCAAATCTCAACTATGCAGCCCTGCGCCTTTCAGCATAGGGTGTTAGATGACACTCCGGCTTAATCGTGATAAACTGTTGTTCTTCGCCTGTGAATCGACAGATTACCGAGAACGTATTGAGAGACGATACTCAGTTGCCATAGCTTAAAGCTACAGCCGTCGCGGCGGAACTGCTATGCAGTTGTGTTTTCCTTACCGTTTTGTTGTCGAGCCTCCGACTTGCTCGAATCCGGAACCACGGCCGGGGGACGATCTTGCTCGTCTATATCGGAGCTGGTGGTATAGATGCTATCCTCTTGTGTCCACAAAAGAGGAACGCTCATGTATTTCCATGGTAGAGCTCAAACACTCCGTCATGAGATCTTCCCAAATCTTATACCGCAGTTGCCCAGCTGGATAACCTCATGAAGAGCGGTTTGTGAGACCAGTTGCGCCATGCATCAATGAACGCCGTGTAGGAAAGGCTGAAGAGTATTTCCTGACTGTACTGTTGATGGTCGTGTGCTCGCCAGCGGGTCGGTCCTGATACGCGTGTCGTCGAGCCCTTCAAGGCGAACTCAACACTGAGTTGATGTACAAGAAGCAGGTTGATTTTTTTCCAACTACAGCGCGGGTTAAATCCATCGTGGGAAATTTGAACCCACGTTGTAATTGGTTACCTTGCTAGAGGGACCCAATTATTCCTAGTGGCTTTTGGTGCACACCACCCCCCAAAACCCCCAAGAGTTAGGTTCGTTGTGTGACGGCGCGCGGCCAAGCAACAGGAACTTGCAGCAAAGACCCCTGCTCGCGTGCCAGCGGCCGGCACCTTTCCCCCTGGTGATCTGTTCTTTGCCTAATCTAAAAAATTACGGCAGCTCAGTCCAACAGCCCTGTGTACGCCAATCCTCTCTCGCGTATCTCTCATCCTCTCTTTTCGCGATTACGACGCCCTTTTCGGACCCTTCTGATTGTACAGCTACCTCCCTACCGAAAACGAAAGAAAACTTTACCCTCGAACGATCCGATCGAATCGAAGCTCCCTTCTCTTCCTACCACCCAACTCCAACGAAGCTAGGAGCATACACCCAAGATGGCGTCAATGTGGATGTCCGACTCTCAAAGTACGTCTTTTTGCGCCGCCAAGCCGTCACAGGCAATACCGCACCGGAACCATGTTGCGCAGCTTCTACACCACCGTCAAGGACCGTAGCTGACCTTTGTTCTTACAGAAATTGGAGTCATCTTCTGCTCCGGAGGTACGTTCGCGCCGCCACCAATACCTCTCTGGCGCATCGAGTAGCACATACAGCAAGTAGGATTCACGGTGGCTAACTTCTCTGCGCTTACGACAGGAGGTTTCTTCCTCATCGGTGGAGTGATGCTGTTCTTTGACCGAGCAATGTAAGTCGTTCCTTGCGGATTTGTTCTCCTCCTTTGACTTTCGCGACAGAGCTAACCCGATCCTTTCTCAGGCTGGCCATGGGAAACGTACGAAACTCCCCTCCTCCCTCCTCCCTGACCACAGAGTCAACGACCACCTACACGCAAAGTAGCTGACCCTTGAAATGCAATAGATTCTCTTCCTCATCGGCCTGACCATCATCATCGGACCCCAAAAGACGCTCCTCTTCTTCGCGCGGAAACAAAAGGCAAAGGGCACGGCCGCCTTCTTTGGCGGTCTTACCCTGATCCTGCTACGGTGGCCCCTAATCGGCTTCTGCGTCGAGCTCTACGGCATCATGGTCCTCTTTGGTGACTTCCTCGGCACGATTGCCGCTTTTGCGCGTAACATCCCCGTCATCGGGCCGTATATCGGCACCGCGGTCGACCGGTCTGGTGTCGGTCGCCGGAACGCTGAGTTACCTGTGTAAATATTCCATTGGAAGGCGGTCGGGAGGGATGTATCAACGTATCAATGATTTTCGGGGAAGCCACTGGAATGAGGAGGATAGCGTATAGACGGGATTGTATACCATAACGGCGCAGGTTGGGGCCTGAACCTATGATTTGATAAAGGCTTGTAATTATACGCGGATTTGCTTTCGGTTCTTAGAGCAAGGGCGAAACCTTTGTCTAGAGACGACGAAACTCGCTCAAGGATAATGAATGAATGGAAAGACACACTTGAGAAACCATCTGGCACACGTAGGACGGAAAGACATGTCATTGACATACATGGTTGGCGCATTTCGGGCTCGGACGTAGCCGCGGCTAAGCAAAGATTCCGCCATTGGTAAACTCTTGCTAATCTAGTGTTCGTCGATTCGTAGTGTCAACATCCTCGTGTGTACGCGGGAGCGAGATGCCCAGCCTGCCTCGCACACAGTAAACTCCAGGGGTTTGTTTCCTTTAGTTGCAAAAATCCCCCCGCGTGCCCCCTCGTCTACGCCATCACCTCCTCCACCCTGGCTGGTATTCTTAGTAGCTCACACTGACGAGATAGTCTGCCAGCTTCTCCACCGCCAGAGTAGCGCTGCCGGCCTGCGCGTTCTCGCCGTGGTGGCCGAGAAGGATGGCCTGGGTAGACTTGGCGACGGCGATACCCTCCTTGCCCTATTCAAGTGATTTCAAGTCAGCCCTTCTGCGGACAATGCCATGTTTTTTTCGTGCTTTCAGAGTGTATGGGCGTCCAACCTTTCGTGCGTAAATGGCACCCTCCTCGGCACGGGCCATGACGTATCTCTCGCCGCCGATGAACAGACCATCGGCAAAGGCCTTGTCCTTGACGTCCGACTTTCCGGTAACGATGTCGGCAACAACCTTCATCTCCGTGGCGGAGAGCTATGTTGCGCAAGAGATATTGTTAGTAGTGGTACGGATAGAGAAATGTAGTTATTCGTTGGTAATTGAAGGCGGGATCACATACGGTGAAACCGGCGCTCGACGCCCACGTGCTGTCACCGGCGATGCTGATGATGGCGGCCTTGTCAATGTGGCCGGTGCCGACCAAGCTACAGATCCCACGTCAGTTCTCCATGGCCCATTGTATAGCTCAACAATCCCTCGCGATGCGCAAGCCGCGAAAACAAAAAGCTGGTGCAAAGCTACCTGGTGTCAACGTAAGCTGTAGAGAGAGATTGTCAGCTCATCCTGATGATTCTCGAGGTCTGGGGGGGTTTCCCCCTCGGGTTTGGCTTCTCCCTCCCCCTCCGTCTCTCTTGGGAGAGAGCTGCCAACGCCCGCATCGGCCCTTCGTGGGGGTGGGAGATTGCGAAGTGAGTGAGCTTACCTTGCCACGACATGATGAAGGAAGGAAGACGGGAAGAAATAAGAGACTAGTGCTCGCTGGTGCAAATTAACAAAAAAGAGACAAGAAGCTTCTCTCTGTCGAAAGGGGGTGTGCAAAAAGCTCAAGCTTTGACGCGGTGTGGGATATGGAGGGGAGGAATTTCGGTTTGTGACTGTTGATGTTTCTTGTTCCTCTTTCCTGCCTGACGTTTGCCCCTCTCTCCTCCGAGGAATACCTTAGCAAACCAATTTTTAGGTCCAGCGGGCCGGGCGGGGTATCACGCTACCTGCTGAGAGGTCATTGCTGGCGCCAAAGTAGCGGTGCGGGGTACTTTCTTCAGCATCGCGAGCATCGTAGGCGAATACCTCTGTTTCTCGTTGCTTCCACCCCCCGGCAACTGTGAGGTGCTTTATTCAGGAAAGTCCAGCAATGTCATGCAGCTACCACAGTAAGATACCTAAGGTAGGGACTGCCAAAGAATTGCTGCACCTTATCCGAACGTTTCTCATCGTTTCTTCTGATTCCCTTTCCTAGTCGACAGCGACGGCTTAGCCTTGTCTTGACGAATTCAATCCCCTATCTTCCTACCTACCTGTATTTCGTACCCGAGGTAGCTGATCCACTCGAAAGAACTCAACGAGTCCACACGATCCGCCGGGTATTCCCATCACCGCCTGTGTAGCTATTACCTTGTAATAGGTACCATACCTTACCTTACCGCCTTACGTATCTTTCCACCTAGGTGCCACTTCCGGAATGTGCCCCGCCAAACACTTGTCCAGTCACGTGATGGCGGGGTGACTGTGCGAGTATGATGGAAGGAGGCACAGTACAGACACGGCATTGTTGGGCCCCACCCATTTGAGGGCCGTCACCGCCTCAGCTCGCCACACTCAATGCGCCACGGCAGCGACCCCCGTTTCCCATCTTCGCCAAGCCCAACACATCTCCGCCGACGGCCCGGCAAAGCTCTATGCCGCCTTCCATCTCCATCGTCGTCTTCGTCGACGTCGCTATCAATGGCTTTTCGTTTCCAGAAGGATCGAAGGAACGAAACAGACGCTCGGCACATGAGAAGTGAGGACGGACGTGCAGAATGGCAACATCAAGCGAAAAGAGTTGCTTTCTAAATATGTTTGGATCGTCCATGCAAGAAGGAGCGCATATTCCATGTTAGCTACCGCAGCTACTACAGCCCAACTTACGCTCGAAGTCTTCTATCTTTACTCTATCCACCTGCATGCGGTCAACGGCGACATCGAGGACGCCTGGTTGACGGAAGTCCGTCCGCAACGCAGCTCGGAGCCAAAAGACGGGACGTTTCCGTCTTCAGCTCGGTCCTGCACAGTCGTACTACGTAGTCGTCTATTAACCCGATCGGCTCTTTGAACTTCTTGTCCCCATCACGCCGGGGTCCAGGCTGTACAGCATCTCTTTCAGGCTTTGGCCTCTCTTCTTCAGATGGAATTTCGCTCACCAGCGTACACGTCCGATCATCTGGATAAACTATCAGAGTTGTTTCCACCCGATGCCTCTCACGGGATGCTACACTGTCAACGGATCGTCACCCGGGGCACCGCCTACGTTACGCTTGATCCGCCGCCGTCTCACACCCTAATTGATCGCCCTGGTCGTCTTGTCATCTCAACAACAATTCCAGGCTTCCGAATCCTGATTTTGCACGGGTTCACAGATCCATCTACGGGCTGTGGAAGACAGTCTAAACGAGGGCTAGACTTCATCGAAGAGACACAGACACCGGCGCCCAACTTTATCCTATTCGTAGAATAATCAGCCGGGGGACTAACTGCTTAGCCTGAGATCGGCTGCCGCAAACTTACGTGCTGCGGAGGACTCGGCTTACACGGCGACTTGGTAAACTCAACCCGTGGGAAGAACCAGCTGCATCTGGATGACATTATTCGTGGACATCACACAAGCAAGAGAGAACACGAAATTGGGTTCCAGCCATCCCTTCAGACGAACTTTGAGTATACTGCATGCTGCTCATCAAACCAGTTTTACTTTTTGACAGCAATGCGATCACCTCCTGGCAACAAGGTTATCGTTCAGAAGACAAGGGCGCATCTGACGACGGTTTCTTCAGGGGCGTCTTCGTGGCATCTCTCAACTGACGATGTCTCTTGGAAGCGATCAAAACGACAGGGTGTCTTCCTGATGGTCAGTAAACTTCTTACTTGCGCTCTGGCCACCTAACGGATACACTGGCTGGCGGATTTGCAATCTTGAGACGATCATTCGGCTTTCCACCCTGGACGAGACAGTTCAAACCCCGTCGATGGATAGCCTTCCGCATCCTCCCATCATCTCTAAGCTCCTGGTTTGCCCTGATACCTAGTCAGCCTTGTCACACAGGGCTCCTCGATAGCCTACGATTCTTTGGAGCCATTTCAGGACCTGGAAGGATGATCTGACTGTGGGCCTATCGTGGACTGAGAGGAACAAGAGGTGCTTGTCAGCGTCTGGCCCAAGCGCACAGCACGTCGCAGGCGCACACAGGCAACGCCCAAAAAAACAAAAAATCGAGAACAACAAACTTTCCAACGCTCGGCGGCGCCCACCTCAGCAACAGCGCTCCGTGTCCCAGGAAGTCTGTTTCAATACGACACCTTCTAAGAGGGAGGGTGTTTGATTTCTTCCGGCTGACAGGACAACCTGTAAGCTCCAACAGCAGACGCATACGAGGCACTAGGGCGTGTCGTCGACCAGATCCCCCCGAACGATGACACCTCGAGCGGCATACTTATTCAGCGTCGGCCCTTAGTAAGCTGCCAATTTCGTGTTACTTGGCGCGTCGTCTGTCAACCAACTTCTCAGATATGTGTGCGGCTTGCATTGTCTTCGCAATGTCGTTGCATGGTTGTATCAGGGAACACAATTGGTGTTCATGTCCGTGAGCGTACAAAGCTGCGAGACGAACGTATCCGTACGGAAACCTGTGCGACAATAGGCCCAAGAAGCGGTGGGAAAATGGACCAGGAAATAACCAAGATTTGATCAAATTACACCGGACAGCGCTGGCGTCACGCTGGATAAGCAGGCCTAGTGTGAGAAGGTTATTTCCTTGATTGTGGACCATGGTTGGTGGGAAGCCGGATGAGCAACGATGTCTCTGATCCTTTCATTTAAAACGAGAGACCCGTTTGATGTCAGAGTGGGGGATCGGTATATGCGTGGGCAGGGCGTTGTTAGCCCAGCGATGCGGAGAGGATCCGCGACTGCAACGTCGTGTAACTCTCATTCGCTGACCGCATCGGCTGGGAGATTGAACTTCAAATGAAGCAATTTTCAGCCTGGTGACCGTTGGGCAAATCTTGGGGCGGCACTGGGCATCAGAGGGGACGTCCTCGTGTTACTCATCTTGAGTCTGGGCCAGTCCCATCTTTCAGAGGCGATTCGGATCCCGGCGGACCCAGTTTCTTGCAATTGGGATCAATCCAGTTCTTGGATAACCTCAACGACCACTTGCGACCTACTGTAGCGCAGTGACGGCTTCTCGGATTATTAGCGAATTGATCATTACATCGACGGACGAGGCTTGGGCCTCGGGGGGCCGACGACAACGAAGGCGAGAGGACGTGCGGTATGACAGGGACGACCCTGAGGCTTGTTGCCCCCAGGCTGGGGTAACCCAACCTTTCCAGGATGTCCCGCAGACCAAGCACGGATGCGACCCTCCCTCTTCTCTCATCCTTCTCGAATCCCTCCCCTCTTTAGCTCTCTCTAGCGGCAAGGTACGGCACGATACGACGGGGGGTACAACAAGGCATGTGGGCGTAGTCAATTTGAAGTCAAATTGCTTCTTATGAGCTTTTCGTCGAGAAGCTCCAGAACGATAATACCGGAAGCTGCCGCGGCTTGACGATGGAGTCATCCGAGGCTTCTCACTCAGCTCTCGACTCTCAGCCCCCTCAGCCAGCCTTGACCGCCACGCCGCACGGCAGTGTCAACACAGAAATCAGACTATCCAGAGTCTCCAGACCTCTCGGTCACCCTGCAGATGACGACTCCGTCAATCATGCTTCGCCGCTGTGCTTCCCTACAGTTCTCGCTAGTCTGACACACGAAACCGCAAGACCTCCACTCGACCGCAGAAGATACGCGACTTATCGTTCACAAACGACCGGGACCCTCGATCCACAGACCGGCCCAAGGACAGGATGTTGAAGTTCGTCATCCTTGTGTTGATCAGCCCCCCCTAAAATATCCGTCCTATCAATCTCAAACAGGCGACAAAGTTGCGAGTCGCGTGCTGGGGACCAAGAACGAGGGCTTCTGGGCTCTGGGTCGACCCTGCAGAGGCGAAATCAGAGGGGATGATATCAAAGTAGAGTTAAGTCAGAGTGTCCCCCCCGTCTGCAGTCTGGGTCCTCTCCTGTTCTCTGCATATGGGCTTCGGGGGGTTCTCTGTCATCGGGTCTTTGGTCTTTCTTTCCGGCAACTGCCTTTCTACTAGCAGCCATATTTCTCATTTTCTCTTCTTTTGCCTCCACATTTGGCGCAACTTGGAAGACGGCCTTCTAGTCCTCCGATTCTACTAGTTCCTGCAACCGCTTCCCATCATCTCCTTTTTCGAAACCGATCACCCCGCTCCACGTTCTGGGCATCCCGCCTGGTTCTTGCTCTTATAGCCCTGTCAACAAGGATCCGCCAAGCGCTAGCATTGCAAAGTCCTGTTCCGGGCCATTAGAGGAGCATGTTCAAATTGGTTAACCGTTCCAGATCTATGAAGAGCATGAGGACTGGTGGAGGGGCCCCCGGTGGTGTGCAGACGCACGGCCCAGAGTCCCCCGTCCTGGGGTCGCCGGGTCTTGTGTCAAGTTTCCAACAGACCAAGGAAGACTCGAGCGCTTCTCAAAACGAGAGCGTGCCCTTCTTCGCAAAGGACGCTGCCGCCGACGCTGCCGCCGCTGCTGCCGTTGCCGTTGAAACTCGCAACACATACCGCCATCGCCCGCTGCCTACACCACCTCCATCCAAGGCGTCTTCGAC